AGTCCATTTTTGGTCCGGACCAAACAATTGGACCAAAGGACTTTCCTGGTCTGAATACACCCTTAGCTTCACTGGTACACACTATATCAGCCTCAAACAAATGCTTGTTTTGTAATTATTTTGAACAGAATCATGTTCAAGTCTTAGTAACGTYAGGAGTTGGAAGTYGGCCAGTCTGTCAGGAACTCCTGGGCCACTTTTTCTCCCTGGTCCGCTCCTGATCAGACCATAATAAAAAAGGAAAAATGTGAAACACTTTGGTCAACTCATGTTGTTTTTAATGTGCTATATAAATTAATTGACATGGACATTTACTCCATTATTTATAGTTTATGTCACTTTTTGCGTTTTCAATTTMTTTTATTACCCCAAAGATGTCCAAAAACATTAATAACTTTTCTAAAATGTATAAATTTGAATTTCCTAATTGCGTATGTCAAGGCATGTAAATGCTAATAAATATGTGTGTGTGTGTGTTTGCAGCTTCTGGCCACTGTCTTGTCTCAGTCTGCCAAAGCCAAGGAGCATCTAATGGAGCAGACCAAGTCTGTGGACCAACCTGCAGGCAAGATGAACAAGATCCACACTCAACTGTTTTATAGACATGAAACTTTACTGATGAGAATCTTGGTATAGGGGAACAAGTTTTAATATTTTAAACAATAAGATTGTTAAATAATTCTTAAATTTATTTTAAAACATGTTGTGACACCACCCCTGTTAAAAGGGAATAATTATTTTTTGTCGGTATCAGTAAAATAAGATATGTGAGTTCTTTATGTTTGAAGGGATCACAAAGCCACATACATATATAGGCACGACAGCTCAGAATTTACATTTTAGATTAAAATTTATTTATTTAGATATGGCAACAGTTACTGCAAATTATGAATAATGACTAAGGTCTCTAAATTGATCTAATATATTTCAAAATTATGAATAAAATGGGAATGAAAGATTTGATTAAGGTGGAAAACAGAATAAAATTGTAATCTGAGGCACAAGATGTAGTTTCAATGAATTTCAATYGAGAATTTAGTGAGCGAAGAGGTTTGGTAATGGAATTACCAAAACAGTGCAGAATCTTGCTTTAACATCAGAATATCATCTGCCAAAGCAAAAAAGAAACACCRCTTTACCAGGACCAGAGCCTGTTGTAGGTACTTCAACAACAGTCTGTAGGACTGCCCTACAGGCCTGGATTAGACGTCAACACTCAATCTGCTGGAGGGAACTGACGGACTGTAGACTGGCACAGGAACTGATATATGGACCAAATCTTACTTGAAGTTGTGAAACTCTCATTACCCTGACAAGGAACATTTTAAGTACACTGGTTGGATTCCTAACTGGGCACAACCTGTGTAATTGCTATAAAATGCTGATGGGACTCCATGACAATGGTCTGTGTGATGCCTGTGGCATTGGTTTAGAGACCTCTTTGCACTACTTAGGCCACTGCYTGGCTCTGAGCAGTCAAAGGAAAATAATTCTTGGGGACCCCTTTTTGGATCCCGAGAAACTCAGAACACTGAGTGTTTCTAATCTCATGTCCTTCATCTGAGGGATGCGAAGGTTTGTCTCASTCTCCTTTTGGGGAGCGCAATGGGCCCACTTACGAGGCCCCTTCTCATGTGGACTCTTTATTCATCCCCACTCACCATAACCATTACTGGAAGAGGACTTTTTTACTCCTGCCAAAAGTGGATGGATAATAGTATAGCCTTTATCTGTTTATGAACTTTCTCTTGTCCYACCAATAACCTGATTTGCTCAAGCTAATTTAACAAAACTTCATCAATATAAAGCACCATCACTAGACAGTGTCTTGTACACTTTTTGTTGACACAAATTGGAGCAGGAAAAACCCAGGGTGCAGGAGAGGTTCAAAAAAAGGAACAAAAAGCTTTAATAAAACAGAAAAGGCTGGCGAGGCAGCTCAAAAAAATCCAAGTACTTACAGGGACCAGGAAGTCCAAACACAGAACAGAGTACGCTCAACAATGAACCAGCAAAGACTGATGGCAAGACTCAGAAATATAAAGCAAACAAATTAAGAGACAATGGGAAACACCTGGGGAGACACAAGAGGAAACAGGTGAGCATGGGCGGGGCTGAAGGCAAGACAGCAGGGAAGAGATACACAGGGGAACAGAGAAACACTAGGAAGTGAAAGCAAAAACACAGATCATGACACTTATCACTGCAGCCTAAAGATCAAGGTTGCAAAAGTCTAAAAGTATACAAGGTCATTGCTTGCTTGGGCCATTTTGTATAATAGTTTGTTAATGGGCGTGTAATGTGTTATATCCAGTACTCTTGTTCAGCTCCTGAGATTGATGCCTTGTGGGTCAACTCAGGTCAGCCGAAGGTTTGATGTTGGCTTCTGGACTGGAGAGTGTCTCTGGAAGAACCAGCTTTGTTTCAGAGACAAAGTGGTTGATCCAGGGGCAGAGAATGAAATTAGGGAAAGTTGTTTAGACTCACAGTAAGACAAAAGGGGAAGGAAAAAGGGCCTTCAAGAGGTGACAACTGTTTCTGGAAGATGGACACAACAATAGAGTGCAAATATGGAAGTGCTACAAAGCTTGTTATGGAAGAATGGGATAAAAACATAAAAAAGTGAAGAGTTCTTAAATGCCTGGCCTTTGGGAAAAAAAGGTGTAACTTCTACACTCACAGAGATCTTGGCTTGTTCAATACACAGATGGCCAAAGCAGGGGACGTAGGAGGAAGTGTAGAAGGGTGCAATTGGTTCAGAATATTTTTGTCTTTTTGAAAGCAGGATTGTGATTGGTTCTTTGTCAAAGCAAAGACTGGTCAGAATTCATTTGGAGGAGGAGGCTGGAGGTCAGACAGCGAGATGAGTAAACTTCATCTGTTGATTGACGGAAGTGTTCAAAGACGGTTTGTAACGAGCCAACCATGTTCCTACCAACAGGCTCTGCCAGCTCCTCTCGCACATCAAGCCAATCAGGCTGTCCGCTGCACGAAGCGCCGCCTTATGATGCCACGGCAACCAGGAAGGGGGAGGTGCCGTGCGAAGGGAAGGTAGGACAGCCCCGAATCCCCACAGATTTAGTCATCTGAAAAAGCACGAGTCTCGTACAGACGAGCAGCTTCCAACTGCAGTGTGATGAGAATGTAGCTCCTCAGTCACCTCAGCCCCACTGACATCACACACAGACACACACACACAGACACACACACACACACACACACCAAGATGTCCCAGCGGTTTCTCTCACAGCTGGCTTCGTCCGTGCTGCGAGTGTTCGGCTGCAGCCACGACACGGTGAGTGTGTGAGTGGATCTCGTACGAATGTGTGAGAGATTCTTCTTCTTTCTCTTCTCAGTTACGTGCTTTACATCATTATTCACTCCTTTAGTTGCAGCTTCTCCTCTTCATTGCAGTATTTTTTTTCTTTGCTCTAAAATAAATAACCATATATAAGTAGAGCACTACAGGCAAGAATAACTTTGATTAACATAATGGTAATTGTGTGTGTATGTGTGTGGTAACAGGTGCTGGGGAATGTGCACCGTGTGGGTGGACTATCTCAGCAAAACAAGCGTGAATTTTGGAGCCTACACCAATAACGTGAATTTTACTGAGTGTTTATTTGAAGAAAAAAAACAGGATTAGTTGAAGCTGATAACTCACTGATTGTACTGAAAAGGCATGTATCCATATTGAATACAAGCATCACTTGCTTGATATTTATGTCGGTGTGTGTGTGTGTGTGTGTGTGTGTGTGTGTGTGTGTGTGTGTGTGTGTGTGT